ACTTCTGTGCTCGGCCCCTCTCAATCCAAATAGCTTCCCATTGTAGAAATAGATTGTATGTAGCAGAGTTGCTGCTGTTTTCTTGCCTAGAAGGTCTTTCTCCCAGAAAAGCTTTTCCTCTTCATCAGTCACAGCTTCTTTCTCTGGCTTCTTAGTGGCAATATGGACTCCTTCACGAGTTGCGTCTTTCATCTCAGCGTCTAGAATTCGTCTGAAAATAYAAAACCTACAACAAAAAAACATATTAAAAAATGATTATACTACTTTTATTTATAAACTTGCAGCAATTCTTAAAAGTACACAAAATATTATGAAAAAATAAAATAATTACCTCTTATCGCTGTTATCCAAAGGGTTTAGGGCAGCACCACCATTCTCCTGTTCTAAATAACGTTTAATTCCACACACAATCTGATACAACGTGCGAGGAGGATATCGGCCTCCATTCTTGTTGGCAACTTCCTGTATAAATTTAATAAACTCGGTATTTGGATACCATGATGAAACACTCGCCCTCGTCTATATTATATTATTCGTAAATATTGCAAGACTGCAACATCTGGGACGGCTTGGGACAGCTGGGACGACTGGGACACTTGGGACGGCTAGGACACTTGGGACGGCTGGGACACTTGGGACGGCTTGGGACGGCTGGGACACTTGGGACGGCTGGGACACTTGGGACGGCTGGGACACTTGGGACAGTAAAGAGTGTAATTGACCTAACAAAGTTGAGTAAATATTGCAGTGGCATCGCAAAAGAGTTTCAATAATAGTCAATTGATTTGAATTGATTGAAAAATTAAAATATGATACAAAATATATCTCTAACTTAATTTAAATGCAATCAAATTGAGCTTTAATAATTAAATAAACTGTAACTGTTACCATATTAATACTATGTATACTCTGTTAATGTAAATAGAGCTCTAACTATACTTTTTTCATCCATTTTATGAGAATTATTATGTTACGGAACTGTCCTGTAACTAAAATATCGTAACATATAAATATCAAAACAAACAGGACGAATGTGGGCGTCGAATGTGCCATGTTTTGTTGTATCAAAAGTATTTTTTCAAAATATATTATGGAATAATTATAACATAAAAATCTGTAATTTCAATAGCAATTCCCATTTCTACTGTTATATATTTTTTATATTTTCTTTATATAAATCTATATCTCAAAATAAATGATTGAACTTGATATGTATGTTATGCAATCAAACACTGCTCAATATCAGTGAAATTGTATATAATCAAATAGCATTTATGCATCTAAAAAAACTAGATTCAAATTAGTTACACTTCAAAGAACACTTTAGTTAAGACTGATTTTACAATCAAAACAATCATCTTCTTGGGGAACCAGGTCATTATGGGATCTAGGAAAATTGGCACACGGGTGATCAGGGAGATCCCATCATTTTCTAGGTTTCCAAGGTTGCATCAAACAGTGTCATTTTACACAAGCAATAAGACATTTGAGTTATGACAATTTAAATCATGAGTTGAAAAGATACCCTTGAAAAGATATCTTTCCTGTTATTTTCAGTTGAATTGCCACCCCCTCAACACCGCTCATTTCCAAATCATATACATTATAATGAATGATTGAGGTTGTTTTTTATTTAAAAAAAATGTATTGTCATCATGCTACAAAAATAATTTTGTAGTTTCAATAATGACCAGAAGATATTTTTTAAGAAAAATTTCTTGGAACTTGTTGCAAAATGTATTATAATGTATTTTGATCCAAATTTGCATCAATCTGACATTTATTTTATTTTCTGCCCTAATTAGAAGTTTAAGAAACTTGGAAAATTAAAACAATTGTAATACCTACAAGAGAATGCAGAGCTCTACCAGCCTCATAGATTTCAATCTGGCATTTTGGTATCAATGGTTGTTGGCGAAGGCAATGTGCAATGTGCAACTTACAGCTTAAATAAAGTCATTAATTCATCCTGATTTGGGTGCAACCTTAATAACTGCTTGAAGTAGGTGTCCTTCATATTCATGTCTCTTGTGCCAAATTGGCTCTCGTACATCTCATATTTCGTTAAGCTTTCAATTGCTTTCATTGCAATCTCGTCATTTTTAATATCTGATGGTTTCACCTTAAGAAACACCGAAGTGTTATTGGGGCCCTCTGTCAGCAACCCAATTTGATCTTCTTTAAGGGCTTCCATTGCCTCCATCACCACATCACAGTCTGGCCTCTGTGATGAAGAAAGAGATCGCATGAGATTACGGAGAGTAACACATGGCCCAGGATGGAGAGCAATTGCTTTCCTTAATGCTGAGGCAGAAATAGCTTTTGGTCCTCCAATTCCTTTGGATGCCTGTAGAGTAGAATAGGAATAGAAAAAGTGAAGTCGACATAAATAGAAAATTGATCCATAGAGGGTATAAATATTTGGCCAAATTTAAATTCCGTGTGATTATGGCTTTGAAGGCGACAGTTTTTCAACAAAGTGGCTCAAATCTAAGTTAATTGAGGAAGAATTTCTTCTATAATAGAATAAAGTGCATATCTTTTATCGAAATTTGTCTGATTCGTGTCATAATACACCAATTGTGTAGGCAGTCAGTTTTTAGCTCTCCGCTTAATAGAGGTTAAATACAATGGAAGTTTACCAATTGGGACCCCCATATGCTGTCTGCGTCCACTTAATAGAGGTGACCACTTAAAAGAGGTCAGATTTATAGGAAACATTAGGGGAAAAATTCGGGACTTAAACAAATGTCCATTGAATAGAGGGTGTCCGCTTAATAGAGGGCCGCTTAATAGAGGTTCGACTGTACATGTAGCTTCTGTATCAACATAATTTAATTTTGTCGAAGGCATACATGTTTGGTGTCCTGCTACTATTGCTATCAAAAATTTGAGACAAAATGTTTAGAAAAATATTGAATCCCCAGTTAAATTCTTTATGTTACCACACACCGTGAAGTGTAAAAGTTACCCCAAAAATGCTTACACTCAGTCCATCGAAATGTTTAAAATCAATATTGGCTATTTTCTCAACCTGTTAGTAGTCTCTTTCATTATTTCTCACATTAAACTTTTGGGGCTCTATATAACATTTTGCTTGAAAAAGATGTATACAATTCCCGCCAAGCTTACTTTGAAGAAAAAAGATAAATGTAAATCATTGATGTCCCATTCCAGTATCAAGGTTTCACCACCTGATCACAGACAGATTAATAAAATACTCATGGCCCTCAACAAATAATGTTGAAATCAAATAATCTTAATAAAGGAAAGCAAAAAATTTTAACAGATAACCAATGTGGGCATCATTTTGTACCCAGGAAAATTCCATCAAGACACACGCTACAACATTGAATACTGCTTCCTGTATCACTGTACAGTAAATTTAGAGTTGAAGAGTTGAAGTATCACCAATAATTACCTCAACAAAAATACTTCTTTGCTCTTTGTAATAGTCTGTGAGGGCAATGCCATACTTCATTGTAGCAACATTTATTTCCTTCTCCATCTCCAGTTGTCCTTGTCCAAAGTTGGAGTTGGTTATTGCACTTCCCATGACAGTATACAGCACATGAAGAGTTCCTGCTAATCTAGTGGCGAAAATAAAAAAAAAATTATTGAACGACTTGATTAGACCATTTAAGCTAGCAATAGCTCTATAATTTTTTAGAGATACTATCAAGCTTCTATGTTTATGATTGATACAAGTTACACTTTCCCTGAAATATACTTGTTATATTTCTGACTGAATCACCATCAATAGACCAAATCGGTCTCATTTACTTCCGGTCTGCCACGTGATTTGAATTGGGTAAACAAACACAAACATGGTGACGATAGCGACTGATGTTAACTGGACGAAAACCTTAGAAAACCTCCMTAAAATAACATCTTTAGCCATCAACACACATCTAAAAAAATGTGGAAAAGAAAATGTGGGCCCCAAAGGCTATAAATACTTCGTCGAAAATTATATTAGGGACGTTTATGTCGGAAAAAGTGGAAACGATGCCAGTAACACAAGTAGTGTTTACGTGAAAGGAAAGTCAAGGAGAAGTCAAAAAAAGAGCGATGACCCTCACGCTATTCAACTTGAACTAAATAARGACGGTCAAGTTGCTAGAGCACAATGTTCCTGTAAAGCTGGGTAAGTTTTTTTTATGTTAAAAGTTTTTTTTATTTGTATGCAAGATAAATATATAATTTATAATCATGGTTGTCTTTCGAAATTCAAACTAGAATTTCTTGCAACAAGTTTTAAAACGTATCCATTGTGTTTGCTGTAGAGAATAAAACTATTTTTCTTGAGCAACTCCAATTTGAACTAAATATTTTTGGCTTCGCTGTATGTTATGAGTGAATTTTATCCACCTTTTGTTTGCTAAGAAAGTAGGCTCATATTACAGTGACGTTAGTGGTGATTATATTTTCGAGTAATTGGTCCATTTCTCCAAAACTAAAATGCTTTTACTGTCTAACAAGTAATATTGAGCTAACTAGAGCAAACAAAAAACTTTSTACAAAATATTGAACRAAAAAAAGTTGCAATATAATATTTATATTATGTTGAAGCCTCAACTTCTCTTTTAATTWTAGCTCTGGTGGACACTGTAACCATGTGTTTGCTATGTTATATTTGCTGGTTCATTGGACATTACTTGGTGTACGTGAGATTGCTGCTGACAAGACATGCACTAGTCTTCCTCAAGAATGGCATAAACCTCGACGTGATGACATAGAGGCACAGCCAGTTATGAAATGTGTTTTTGCAAAGTCTAGTAAAGACCGGGATGACACAAGAAAGCGGAAACCAGTGGCGTGTAATTTGTATGATGCTACAAAAAAAGCTAAGATCAGTACCACAGTAGTAACACAAGTTTGTGAGAAATTAGGAAATGAAAGCAAAGTCCCTCCTTTTTTAACTCGGAGATTGCGTCAGCAATCGTAGAGTTGTTGGGATGGGACCAGCTGTCACTCGCTCGCTCGATCACTTTCCTGTAAACTTGAGCCTGCGATTTTTTTGTCAGCGGTTATTTATTTAATCATATTAATTATATTAATGTTATTCTACTTACTTCCTCTAGTTGGTCTCCCTGTGCTTTTCGATTAATTATTA